ATATATATGATATATCGAAATTTAGCCAATTATGTTGTGTAGAAGAAGGGAAAGAGAGAGAAATAGAAAAATTGCGTGAACGATTGAATTGATTGTTGGTGTTTGCTTCAGTTGCTGTTGCTGCTATCCGGTTGCTGCTGCAGTGTTTCACAGTTACTATAATCATCTAAAGATAAATATAACTATATAGACGTTGCATATGTATGCATGTGTATGTGTGTGTAGAACGTGTGTGTGTGTGTGTAGAACGTTTCTTAACACGCCTTTAGTTAATATTAGCTCTTCATGTTTCTAATTTGTTGTTCTCTTTAAGACAGATGGAAGGACATGCTGCCCTCGTTGGCAGCCACTTTCAGCTTCTGCCGCATCACTTCGCGACTCGAGTAGTCGGGCAACTTGAGATAGTTGACACAGGTCATCACAGATGGTAGATAATCATTGGGATTCTGGTTCCCGTCCAAGGTCTTGCGCACAATGGTCAGCGGCGGTGTCAGCGACTTGAAGCCACCAGTTGGCAGACGTGGCGATCCGGTAACAAATTGAAGGAACGCACGCTGCTCATCACGATTGTACGAGACGAGAATCTCGTACAGAAATTGTATGGCCTGAGATTCCTGATGGAAGCCATGATCGGTGCGGCAGCTATCCTGCAGCATTTTGAGATCCCAGCTCTGATGCTGTTCGCTGCCAGACCCGCAAAACACGCACTCCAGCTCCTCCGGATAAAACATGCGCAGTCGTTGTATGGGAAATATAGAATCAAAGCCTGCAAAGAAACCACAATTCGAATATAAGCAAACGGCTGAGTGGATGACTCAAATGCATTACGTACCCTCGCGCAGCGCCTCGAACTGTTTCTGCACGCCTTCGACAAGGAACCAGTAGGTGACCAGTGAGATGTATTGATGCAAGTTGTGCACGGTTACGGGCGTGTCGCGTCCGCCGCGGCAGAGCTCAATGTTGGCATGTCCGGGTAATACGAAATCTAGTCCCAAATCCGCAATAGGACAGCCATCCAAATCCAGTTGTTCCATCTGCCCAAGGTAAATTGTTATTAAATTGCGTTATAATTGAGTTCCATTAAAGCTTACCTTCTCTTTCTTCTCCATAGCATCTAGATTGGCATCCATTTGGATATCCTCGCGCTGTCGCACCACATCCTGCAGACGCACCAATGTGCTTTGCACCTCGGGTGCGACACGCTTCAAATCGGCTAGTCCAATTGATAGCTCCTCGTTGATCAACCAGCGATAGAAGGGCAGCGAGAATGGCAAATCGAGCTACAAGTGGTAAGCGAAGCAAATCGTTTATAAAATTGTATATAATGGAGAATCAGGAGGATGGTTTGGGTGCTCCAACATTATATCACGAAACACTTACCATGCGACTGTCCATTACGGCCTTGGCCATAAACTTGCCCAGGAATTTAAACTTGGACTTGGCCTTGGTCATCTGTGGCAGCTTGGAGGATTTGCCCAGAGGCATAGGAAACAGGCCGTGTGCGGCGTGGACGTAGCTAACAGTGGATCCCGTTTGAACGGTGGCTGTTGTAGCAGTGACTGTTCCGGCTGCTGTGGTTGTCGTTATAGTCTGTTCTTCCAGCACTTGGGGGGAATTGTTGGCGCCACCTTCAGCGGCTGCCATATCACTAAACTGCTGTGCAATAATCATGTTTAAAGCGTTGTCATTCGAGCTGGAGGAGCTGTGCTCCGCCAGCGCCTGGGCCTGGGCCTGGGCTTGAGCCTGTGCCTGTGCCTGCTGGTTGCGCAGCGCATTGCTGCGACTGTTGCTGCGGGTCAGATGCGTGTTCGTTGGTTGTGTGACGGCAGCCGTCACGACAGTGGACATTGTAACCACCTCGCTATTGGACTCCACTGTGTCCTCAATGTGCACCACAGCGTTGCTGGACTTGACCACGTCTGCAATATTGGATGAATTTTGGCGATAGCTATCGCTGCCATTCCACAGACCAAGATCCGTGCGCTGCAGCTCCGCAGATACCAGGGCATAGAACTCTAGCGTGGGTCCCAGTCCGGTGCCCACCTAAAAGGCAGACATTACAAGGATTAGACGATTCATTGCAGATTGATGCTAAGCCGCACAACAAACCTCATTCTCATATTGAATCTCCAGCAGAGCCTTGGAGTTACCAAAGTCCTGGAGTATGTGCTCGGCCTGCTTGAGCAGTTCGGCACGTGAGATGGCTCGCTTGCGTCTATCAAGACGTGGCGCCACACGTTCCGATGACTCGGCCGAGTTCAGGTCCGGTGTGGTGTCCAACAGGCGCTGCAGTGCCCGATCCCGATCAAAGCTAGTGGCATAGAACAGCAAGTGACGCGTCTCGAAGGGGAAGAGGAAGGGGCAGGCCATGCCAATCTGAGGCAACCATTGTGGCAGATTGCCCGTCATGATGACCAGCGGATCCTGCAGCTGACGATTCGCCTTGGCCGTAATCTTTGGATGCACAAACTCAGTATTGGCAATGATATTCTGGCGCACCACGCAGCCATAGAGATACTCCCAGTGTCGATTCAGAGCGTAAATGACACGCAGCATACACAAAGCATCCAGCGAGGCATCCTGCACGGTCACCACATCAGCGGGCAGGCTGCTGCACAGGTATGGCTTCAATGGTGACACCACCGGCGGGGCAATGCCCTCGTGCCACAGTTCGGTCTTCTTGCGCATAAATTTGCTGCTGGATTTGTGGGATTTCTTGCCGCCAGTACTGGAGCTGGCCGCCGAATTAGACGAGCTGGAGGTGGAGCACGAGGTGGCGAGCACAAGTGTTCCACTGGACGTAGCATGGCTGGTGCTGCTGCCGCTGCTGTTGCTGTGTGTCAGATTTTGCTTGTGGACCTGACTGCTGCTGCTACTGCTGCAGGAGCTGTTTGGCCCAGATCCGCCAGCGAGTTCCTCCTCGACGGGGCGATAGAAGATGGTGTGCTGCTGCACCCAAATGCTGCTATTGCCTACAGATGGATTAGATAGATTAGCACTCGCTTAAAGGACTCTTTCTAGTTCCACTTACCTAGCAGCATCTCGGACTCGTTGTCCGTCTCGTGCTGCTCGTTGACTAGCGGAGAGAACTGCTTCACCGCCTGGTAGACGGTCATATTGTAGGGCAGCACATGCTCCCCGATGAGGAATTGCAGCTTGTGCTTGAAGCCAGACTGGGTCATCACCACAGCGGCCACATTGTCATCCATATCCTCCTCGCTGTCATCATCGGAATCGGCGCGTATTCCGCCATAGCCGCGCACTACCAAATACCGCTCGATGGCCTGGACCATGGCTAGAGGATCGATCTTGACGGTGCCGCCCTTCCACTGGCGCAGATTGGTGCACAGCGGATGACGCTGCAGATTGCACTGGAGATAGCAGAAGCAGAGGAGATCATAAGTAAAAGCTGGCGG